TCACTAATAGAATGAGTGTTTGCCTTGGCCCGATCAACATTGATTTCCTTATTTACAACTTCTATACACATGTGACCAGATGCAATCACGACTTTTGCTTGTTTCCCTCTCTTGGTGAATAATTGATTGCACTTGTGGTAAGTAGCTATGACCAACATAGAAATAGGAAGATTCCTTGTCTTCTTAAGTATTGAATCGATAAACTTTACAAGGTTGGTGGTCATGTGGCCCCACCATCACTACTCATCCCACACAAGAGTCCATTTGTCCTTAGGATGTGTCATCAATCCAATTAGTTGCCTAAGCACATTGATTTTGGGGACTATAATAGTGGTAGTTGAAGTTAGGCTTCATCATTGCATATCCTAAAGAGATAGAGGCAAAAACAAAATGTGAAATACGGTTACGAATAAATGACAACTATCAATAGTTTATACTTAACATAAATTTTTTACTAACCCATATTGAAGACTTAATTTTTCATAGTTGCATTCTTGAATTGTCTCATGAAATTTTGGGCTATGTGATGAATGCAAAACACATGCATTGAATTGTCTCGTGACAACCTATGTACTATTGGCACTCTTGATGGACTCATTCCTATATGAGATTAAGCATATTCCTTGTTAGGGAGGGATGTACATTCTCAAGTTGCTAAGAAAATAACAAACCATATGTCAATAGTCTCCCCCTCCACAATTACAAAGGTTGTCAAAATATGTTATTGTTTCCATCTTGTGCCACTGTTATCAGGAGAGTAGCTTTACTCTCTTTGTACAACCAAGTTCAATCAACTTGAACAATGGGTTTGCAATATACAAAACTATTGTTGCATGATTTGAAACTCTAGAAAATACGATGAAATATACATGTTTCCTCAAGCAATGCAACTTTATTATTCGGTGTCAATGTCTGTAACTTTATGATTGTTCCAAGAATATAATGTTGCATGGCTTGAAGTAATCTTGGTAAGACCTTGTATGACTTCTCCAATTTCCAAAGACAGGTTCAATAGCCTTTTGTTTTGCCACCCAGATTTTCTATAAGATACAGTATACCCCTCAACAGTTTTAATGTGTGAAATCAAGATTGACACTGGTGTACTTGATGGATCGTTCTTAATGACTTCTTAATGACTTCTAGTATATTTGTATTAATCATTGTTGAGCATTGCTAACGATGATCCTGAGACAACATTGGTGTTGCACATGTATAAGATCCTTGAAGTTTTTGAATCTCTTAAAAGGAGTTGTATCTCTCAACTACTGCTATGCATCACCAAACACAACCATCAATGACACATTTAATAATAAAATATGTTTGATTTTATGTTGACACCTTGAAATCAAAGTGGTTAGTGATGTAGGACTCCTTGATAGCGGATAAGCATGCTTCCTTATTGTGGAATCGCATCCCAACAAAGAGAGATCTCGTGCCTTCATACAAAATGACTTCATGCTCTAAGACGTGACCAAATTTAATATCAACATCCACTCGATCTAGATCTAGGCTATGCATCTGTGCAGGAGGATTGTATACATATTCCAAGTTAGAGGGACTTACTTGTTGGGTATTGTTGTTTTCATTATCATTGTCATTGACATTATTCCCATTGTCTTCATTATCATGATGTAGAAGGACATCATCTTCATTGTCATTGATTGCACTGACAAACTTGTTGTGCACACCAACCCATTCATCTTCATGTTGAGGCAGTTCATTGGATTGGACTTCATATGGCTTGTTTGGTTGGGTTTGCCACCATTCATTTGGAGTAACATGGGGTTGTATGTAATTTAAGTCAAATGTCTAGGAGCTTAATAGATGCTATGATGCGGTATAATCAATGGTGCATAAGGAGACACACGCATAGATGCTTTAACTTGGTGTCATCAATGGCGTCTAAAGGCAAACACACACATAGATGTTTTGATGTGGTATCACCAATGGTGCATAAGGATAGGCATGTGCATAGATGTTCTAATATGGTGTCATCAATGACGCAAAAGGAAAGGCATGCACGTAGATGATTTAACTTGATAACCATGAATGCCTTTGATGGCACTACCATAAATGGATGACAAAGATTGACCAAACAAAATCAACGACACACATGTGCTAATGGATAATACGCCTTTACTTAGGAGATAGTTTCTCCACATATTTGCGTTTATTACTCAAATAGTATATTTAACATAATCCTAGCATTATCTCTCCATATGTCTTAATTATTGTATTGATTTTGTTAGTTTTATATGTACATGACCCCATTACAAACCTCATTGAATTGAATTGTATTTATATTTAATCCCCCTCCAAATCCTTTGAGAGAACCATTATTAGAGAGAGTTGAGTTTGCTAAAGTTGTAAAGATTAGACACCTCAAGATTGATCATTTGGGTATAAAAATTGACAAGATACCCGTCACTAAAACTAGTTATTTAGTTTGGAGTGAATTGTGAGGAACCTATCTGGTAGTCATGAACCATCATATCCACTTCCAGTTAGGTAAACAATAGTCACTTACTACGCTATATGTACATATATATACCAAATAGACTAAAATATAAATGTGTGACTAGATGGGGTAGACAAAGGTTATAATATATTGGAATCCCTCAAGGTGATGTCATCGGATATAGATCAATAATTGATCACATGACTTGAGCATGTTAGGAAATGCTTTGTGTTTTACTCAACTTATTTATATATATTGTACTAAGTTTAATTTTTACAGTTCTAATGGATGCCTTGTAAGGGATTAGAAAACATTTTACCACGTGCTGCATTTCATAAGTCCAATGTGTGGACAACTTGTACTACTTTAGTTCATTTATAATCATTAAATGGCAACAAATAGATAGGGTCAAACTACAATTTGAATTGTGCCAAGATGTTCAATATTCACTACAAAATTTGGATTATCTACACCAGATGGACATAAAGGAAACCATTACACAAATTAGGCTGAAACAAATATGTAATGGCTCAAGATTTGGTAAAATAGGTGGCAACAAATCTTAGTGGGAACACATTGTTAGGATACAAATAAAGTTCTACATCATTGGATCGTGAAGATAAATAAAGGTTTATAAAGCATACATAGTCTCCATTAGTATGAGACATTTTAGGAGATGAGCAAAAGTAAAATCATGAGGGTTTAAGCCCAAAGTGGATAGTATCATACTAATGTGGAGACGTGTTTGTGTGTGTGTGTAAACCTTGGGTGCTCAACTATGGTATCAAAGTCAATGGTTTTAATCAGGTAACCAACTCAAAGTCTTAGACAAGTATTTGGCAATCGGAGTCGATGGATTCAAGTATGTGGTCCCTTGTGTTGAAAGTATTCTTAGTAGTGTGGAGGTCAAGCGACATGTTTCATTGATGTGAGCTAATGGCAATGCAAGTATCTAGAATTGACAAGTGTGGCTAAAGCTTTAAGGGCTACCATTTAATACTCACAGGTGAAAAAAAAATTCACTAAAAAGGAGGTTAAACTATGTTCCTTTGTTTGAGGGGAAATTTGTTGGGGTTATAAACAAAGTCCCACATTATTAGACCATGAGCAGAAATAAAGGTTTATAAAGTACACAATCTTTATTGGTATGAGACCTCTTAGAAAATGACCAAAAACAAAATCATGGGGGTTTAGATCCAAAGTAGATAATATCATACCAATATAGAGAAATGTGTATGTGTGAACCTTAGGTATCCAACACGCATGTCCAAGGTCCTTTCATGCACATGCGTGAATACATTAAATAACATCATGCCAAATCCATTCATTTTCTATTTGCATAACAAAAATTACATGATCCAAGAGTTGAACACAACATATAATGTTGTGCACAAAGGCCAACTACAACTAGGCAACTCACCCCCTATTGTTGACACAATGCATAACCAAGGCAATGAACCATCTCATTATTCTCTGCATTGTTATTCATTTGCATTTAGTCTATCATAACAATTGCCAACAAATAATTTGGACTACCATTGAAGCTTTCTACCGTCTCCTACGAAAAATGAGTTTCTCAACTACTTGTTTAGTGAGAACCTCAGAATGCCAGAATTAGCCCAAACTTATCTTCAAAGTATGTACCAATTAGTGTTCTACCAATTCACCAGCAACAGTTAGGTAGTTATTCTACATTGTACGACATGTTCAAATTATCAAATGTTGTCTCCCTTTTCGACCAACTTAATTCACTAGATGATGTGCATCAACAATAGTCAATAAATAACTAATGATGAACAAAATCAAATTCAACATGGACAATCACATTGAAATCAAAGACATATATGACAATGTTCATTGTGTGAAACTAGACACCATTACAACGACTAGTCATTTTTGTTAACATGTAATTTTAATTTTAAATCTTAATCAAATAATTTGTCATCATTTTTAATTTAGTTAACAATAATTGATTATAAATAATTAAGTTAATTATGGAGATAATTATTAAAAAAATTATCCAATTAATTACCCGTTACTTAATTATTACCACGATGTTTTTAAAAAAAAAACTATTTTTAACCGGATAAATCATAATTTTAATCCTTAAATTAATTAATTAAATTAATATTTTTATTATAAAATGTCTAACAATTAATTTTAGAATGTTATCCTTCAAATAATAATTTTATTAGCTAGCTATTTAATTATGCCTTATATTTAAATTAATTTAATTAACTTTAAGAAAATATAAATTTGTAAACTAAAATTAAAAAATAAAAATATAAAAAGAGAAGGAAAAAGAAAAAAAATTGCTTTGAATAAATCAAAATGGTCAACCCCGATTTCTCAACAACAAGAACATATATATATTTATTAAAAAGAAAGTCGAGGAGAGGTTATAATAAAATGAATTTGATTTGGTGTCAGAAAGATATTTAATCTGTTGAAATTAATTGCATTAACGGAGTCAATGTTTAGTGAAACGTGAATCATGAGACCTTAACTCGCGTTGCTTCATTTGACTCCTCTCAAGCGTATTTAATTTAACCGTTGCAGTGGGCTGCCTTACCATCATATCTCACTCATTCAATTCCTCCCATCCTCTCACCAAATGAAGATCCAGTGCGACGTCTGTACCAAACACCACGCCACCTTCTTCTGCTCCGCCGACGAAGCCGCCCTCTGCGACGCCTGTGACCACCGCGTCCACCACGCCAACACCCTCGCCTCCAAACACCAACGCTTCTCTCTCACCTACCCCTCCACCAACCATCATCTTCCTCTCTGCGATGTGTGTCAGGTACATAACATAACATAACATGTTAATTCTAACAGTAACATTATTATTAGCACTTGTTTGTCGTTGGTTAATGAGTAGGAGTTCGCAGGAGAGAAGAGGCTTCGTGTTTTGTCAAGAAGACAGAGCCATTCTGTGCAGAGAGTGCGACGTTCCCATTCATTCCGCTAACGAACTCACTAAGAACCATAACAGGTTTCTTCTCACTGGGATCAAGTTCACTGCCACTGCCACTGCCACTGCCATGCCTTATTCACAATCACCACCCAACAAAAACCATTCTGCCGAAACAAATGAACAAGTTGGTAGCAGCATATCAGAGTACTTGATCAACACTATCCCCGGCATGAAGTTCGAGGATTTCCTAGATTCACATACGCTTCCCTTTCCTTACTCCAACGTATGCAGCTTTACTCAATTTATAATTAGTAGCCATAATTGTTTCCTTGTGATTTGGATCTAACTGATACGTTTATGAATTACAGAATGGTGATGACATGTTTGGGAAGGGAAACATGGTTTCTTTCTCATGTGGTGGGATGTGGGTTCCTGAAGAGCAGAATGGGATGGCAAAGGATGGATTTGGCAACAGTTTCGGTTTGGGGGATGATAATTTCATTGTTCCACAATTGAATCCTCCTCCTCCTCCTAACAATGTGTACAAGAGATCCAGGCTTCAATGGTAAAACAGACACAACTATTCATGTCACTTCAATTTCACTCTCCTCTTCTTTTATATATATTGTTGTTTTCAATTTTTGTTTGTTTGCTTTTGTCCCTCACCCTTCTGAACTACTCTGCCAGCTACTTCCCTCTTGTTTTCTCCCTTAATTTGTGTATCACTTCTAAATTGTAAATATGTGTACGTTTTGAGAGCTCTTTGGATTCAGATTAATTGTTTTTGCTACAGTTTTACGTAATTTGTGTCAAACTTGAACTGGGCTAGCTAGCACTAGTTGCCGCCAAGGATCATGTGAGAAAATCAACGGCTGACTAAACTCTCATAATGACTTATTATGAACCTTGATGAAATCTCAAATATATGCCAAATTCAGCCCGAATAGGAATATAAGTTTGACCATGATTACGATCCCAAGATTCCCCGCCTGACTTTACAGATTTACATAGCACAAATGAATGGACAACAGAGGTAGCTGATATCTTCACCAATTTGATCTTTCGAGCTGGGTTAGCTTTGTCCTGATCCCATATTTAGGAGTATAACATGAACCAAATATTTATGTATTGTTTTGTTTAATAATGATTGAAATTTGAACTCAATAATCCACACAGTAAAGATAAGACAATAACAGTCAACTTTAGTTGCCAAATTAAAACTCAATGTAATTAGAGAATTGCAAAAACAAACACTAAGGTATGCCGCCTTTGAATTTTTGTGGGGGAGAAGATTAGCTAGTGATGCTTTTGTTACTTATAGTAGAGCAATCCTTTATTGAATGAAAACTTTATTCACCAATTTGTATAAATTCAAAGAGTAATTTTGTTTTGGTTAATTAATAAATGAGTTTACTTTTTTCTGCATGTCAGTGTATATATATATATTTTACACAGTTAATTAATTAAAAATCACGATATAACTTTTAAGATGATGATTATTATAGTTAATAAACTTAGATAATTTGTGATTGATCAATGACTGGAAAAATGCATACACTATTTAATTTACTCTTAATAAATTAAATAACTTTTAAAAGTTAAAGAATGAAAAGAAAATCCGTGGCGATGTGGCTTGGTACATTAGCTTTCATAAAAATTCGTACGAAATCTAACATTTTGGTACGTAATAACTTGATCGATGAAAGAAAACTGTTAAGTCGGCAACCCTTTTGGTGAGGGGCCATGAGAATGGGTTGTTGGCTCGAAGACGTCTAAAAATGGGTGGTTAACAACAGGAATTGAATGCATTCAAATTTATTTGACAAAATTGGTAGTGTTAAAGTTGGTTTTGGCGAGGATTGTTCTGACCTTTAGCTTCGCCAATAAACGACATGAGCTGGTAAAATAGTTGTAAGACAGGGTTCCGGATGAAAATACTAGATTAGTTCAATCATCAGCACTACGCTATTATTGATCACCACGTTGTCAACAATTATTGTTCATACTTGATTGGCCAAAAAAAGTATCAAATCTTGTCAAATATTATCAACAAAGAAAAACAGTGGCTTCATAAAAGAACATACAAAACTAAAAAAATTATGGGTAAAAAATATTCTGGAATTGTTACTATTCTGACTAATTTTTATAAAATACTTGATCAAATGTTATTAATTTATCTTTATAAAATAAAAATTTAAATATATAATACGTAATACAGTAGTATGAAACTACTTGATAATTTAAGTATACAAAATTGCATTAACACATATACATAGTGTCACTTGTCAGTAGTGACTTGTCTTTGTTTCCCTTCTTTTTATTCATTGGGAAGGATAACATGGGTAGCGGCAATGGTGCCTCTAATTTTAAAGGATCATCAGTAGAAGGTCAATCTTGTGTCTTGAAGTTTGCACGTGCGGAGGTGTGTTGTGTCCTTACCCACAGCTTAAAGTCTCTAACAGTGAACATATTTCAGTTATCCTGCAATGTATGTGTTAAAGAACTATCTATCTAATAAAGTGGACCTCAGAAAAGTCAGAAGTGGCTACAATTGTCTTACACTCCACATAACATTTTGATTCTCCTTCTATTTGGTCGTTTACAGAGTTTTCACCTTTTAATTTTTGCATATACATCTTAAAATAAAATGTATTTGATTAAAATAATGTTGAATTACAAATATATTGTTGATTCGAATAATATGAGACTTAATCTTTTTAAATAAGTTCTCATATTCAAGTCTTTTATATAGAAAATACATAGTTAACGGGAGAGATCTCTTTAAAAATAATTAATCAGATTTTTTGACGGATACGAAATTGATAGATATTTTATATTAATAATATGATCACTAAAATGAAAAGAAAAAAAAGTATTGAGTTAATATTTGAAAATTTTTAATTTATTTTTTTAAATAAAATTAATGTTAGTTTTTTATTTTATAGTTTTAAATATAACTATTTATTTATTTTTCTTATATGTTCTAAAGTTATTATTATTTTTTTCATAGCTATCACTCCTATAATTATAGTTGTTATCGTTATTTTAATATTTTTTTTATTTAAGGAAAAAGCTTAGGTTGAAGAACAATACCAATAAGATTGTGCTGAAGTTTTTTTCTTAATTTAACTAGTATCGTAAAAGTGGCAAAAATGAGTCTAATTTATTGTGTTGACTGGATTAGTCTAACAAATAAGTTGGATTAAGTTATGAAAATTCAAACTTTAATTGGTTAATTTTATTTAAGTGATGAAGGGCTAGCACATGGGCCAAATTAATATTTTTAAGGTTGATACACTATTTTAGACTAAAGATGAATTTGAATCCATTTATATGACATTTCTATTTAGTGAATTCTAAGTCTTTAATTAAAAATAAGATAGATTATCTAAATAAAAAGAAAATGAGATTTTGATTACGGAGATTTTCGTAAGAGAGAATCCAGTAAAAATCTCAACATCATATGTTATCACAAAGTAATCATTGTTGTGATATGTCAAGGTCCAATTTGTAATATAATTATTAAATAACTATAAAGACCTTTAATTTTTTTTAAAAATTAACATAGCAACAAACAAATTATTGAAAAATTAAAAGCAAATTTTGTGTAAAGACTAAAGATATATATCATTGAAGATGTGGTTTAACTAAAATGAAATTATTTTAATTTAGTCGGTAATTTATAATTCAAGTTTTGAATATGTAATTATTAAGCATTTGAAAGGCTGGAGAACTTTGTTATTTATAATGATCCTATATAATTTTGAACAAAATTGTCTTCAATAGATTTTAAAAGAAAAAATAAAAAAATAAATATATTTACACATTTTTTTAGAAAGTTTTTAGGCTTAGAAAAGTTTTAAATACTCACTAAATCATGGAGATAAGGCGAGAGAGAGCGGGAGATTCTCATGGCATCTCCAATAGAAGCAACTCATTTGAGTTGCTTCATGCATTAAAAAATGAAAAAAGTGGTCTCTAGTGTGCCATATCAGCATTAAGCAATTCAAACACAAATTTACTTCAATGGTAAGAAATTTTAAGAAATTTAACTTTTAGAATTTTTTTTTTCTAATCATTTATGAACCAAATTTAAATTTTTATTAAAAATTATAATTTCTCTACAATTAAATAAAAGAAATTACTAGAAAAAATACACAATGAGTAGATATTAAAAATAAAATAAAACAATAATAAATACATAAATATCATACGAAATTAATTCTCATCATTATTATTTCCGAAACATTTTTAAATATATTCAATAAGATTTGCTTAAAATCTGGTAAGGAACGGTTGCTTGAGGAAACAACTATCTCTTTTTTTCAAATAACTCATGTTGTCATGTCAGAGTCCTCCAATAGTAAGAAATCGAGACTTGAGTTGTTTTATAGGACAAGCAACTCCTATTGGAGTTGTTCTCAAAAGTAAACTAATAGATGTTACAAATGGAAAAGATTATAAAGGAGGATTTTTTTATTATTATTTGTTCATTGAATAATTATGAAGGAGTGGATTTGCACCTATTGGAGAAGTTTAAAAGCTTTTATTTCCCCCATTCTTACTTTATTCCTTTTGTCGCTGTTTGTTATCATGGATAACTAAACTTTTGTTTGAAAGATCCATAGAATTTCCTAATAAACAATGAGATATGTCATATTTTATTCCTATTGTGATATATCTTCAATGGATTTGGATTTAGTGAACCCTATTTTTCATGATGAATATTTAAAAACTTGTTCGTGTTCTTATATCTTAACACAAATGAATAGAAGCTATCGCTGTTTCATTAACATTGCTTTAGAAGAAGACAAAAAATAGCTAGGGACAATGGACCACTACTTCAATGCTCACCGAGTCATTTATGGATTTATATTAGTTTAGCTCTGGTAAATAAATGTATCTAAACTTTAAAAATATAAATTAAAAAAAAAAAGCCTAATTACTACTTTTCCCCTGACAAAAGCAAAGATTCCGCATGCGTATTACGCTGAATCACGTGGCAGGATATACTCTATGCAAAAGCTTGAACATATATATGTAGCGACGACGACGATATGATATAGGCATATAGCAACAGCATCAAATAAGTAAGCCACAGTTAGGATTCCCTATTATACGACTATTCGCAATTAAAGAAGTCGCATCGCATGTTGGTCTTTCAAGAAAGTTGAGTAACTTATGAGAAAATTTATAATTTCACTTTAATTATTATATCTCATTGTCCTTACTTTTAAAATCTATCCAGATAATTATGATTTAGAAATGAAGTTTATTTTGGGATTTTTTTTTTGAAGATTATCTTATAAATGAGAAATAAATTTTAAATTGTTAGAATCTCTATAAAATTAATAATTATTAGTTTAAACTATTATATCCTAATAAGACAAGTTTATCTCAAATATTTAATGACTGTTAACTTAACAATAAGATAATTCTTTCCAACTTATTTTAAAAGACAAAAAATTTTAAGTTCGCATCAGAAATTTATGTTCCAGATGAAGAATTCTAGAAAGTTAAAAATCTAACAAATGATTACAATGCAAAGTTAATGAAAGAGATAATGTATAAGATTAAATATATTTATTATCATTTTGTATATGAGAATTTAACTCCATTAAACAATATATATATTTACTTTCAACTAGATCAAACTAAAATGACAATTATAACATGTTGAAAATTAAAGATTTCACTATAGTGTGTGTATATATGGTTAGACAAAAATTCCTAAAAAAGTTAGGTGAACGATTTTATCATATCATATAAAGATATGACTTTGTAAGTTACAATAATTTTGTTATAAATAAAGTTTGATAAACATCATAAGATAAAGTTAGGTATATGTTATTATCAAAACTTTGACTATGATAGTATTTGGTAATCATAAATAAAATTAGACAAATATCATGTAATTTACATTTTTTTTTTAAATCTCTCCTACGCGCGTATCCTTAACGTAAAACTTTCTCCCGACTCTAAGATGGAAGTGGAACAATCACTACAAACTTCAATTTATTTCTATTAAAAGCATTTGTAAAAAACACAAATCACATATAAAATACACATAATGGTTTAGTATTTAGTACACAAGTCACATATAAATTCAGTGTGAACATATAAACATCGGTACCTAAAGAAGCAAAACAGTCCAAAATGGAAATTTAAAAGAGAGTGAGATTATAAGGAAAAAAAATGAATTGAAGAATTGGTTTAAACATAGATTTCATGGTCGTCGACAATGAGCCTTACACATATGGTGACAATCATAGTAACAAGGTCCACCACAATGAAGAGGACAATCCAACCTTATGCCCCGGCATCGGGTTCTTGCCATGCATTGTGCATATTCCCCCACCCTATACTCCTCTTCATTCTCAAACACCCCTTTCCTAAATGGCTTATAATCATGTCCACTCCCCCCTCCCTTCCTTTTACCATATCCCCTACACCCCCTTTTCCACCAACCTCCACCACCTCCTCCTCCTCCACCACCACCTCCACCTCCCCATCCACCACCTCCTCCTCCTCCTCC